ACACACACACACACACACACACACACACACACACACACACACTGCTTGGACATTCCAGGTTTAATAATAATAAGAGCCCTAGGGTGCAGTAAAAGATAACATCACAATAAGTAGTCAACTGAATCACCTGCTCTGTGTCACAGCTGGAGTTGAGAAGCAGCCCTCCCCACATCAGTGATCAGCTTGATGTTTTTCCTCTATAGTCTGCAAGCCTCCAGCGTGCGCTCCTAAAAAATCCTGCAGCAACGCCCAGGGACTGCAACCACACAGTCTCCCACATGACTTACCAGGTCTGTTTTCTTACATCAGATCTACAACAACAAAGCACTTCATTTGCAGGAGGAGCCGGGCTCTAGTCTTGTTTTATTAAATCTTTTTTATAAAGGGAGATGGGGGCTGAACCTACTGAGGTACACCTAGAGTGTAGCCATTCATGAATAAACTTAGTCCATAATCATAACACCAAAGTAGGTAGTAGTAAATCAGTGCAACACCAGCTCTGCATGAATGACAGCAAAAAATAAAATAAAATAAATAAATAAAATTCTGCAGCAGGATCACGTCTTCAGAATGATGTACCCCCCAAAACACAAAGGATTCACTGAAATGTTCATTGTTATAATTGAAAGCTATAGGTTAATTATCAGCACGCATACTGAGTGCACTGCACACTCCCTCACAATCCTCCCCTTCATTCAAACGACTCAGTAAATAACAGGCTAATAAAAACCCATGATATGTGTTCCAGCAAATTAATAAAAACAGGCAATAAAACGAGCTCCCTAGTAAGCGATTTCTATTCCCCGTGTCTTCTGAATGAAATGCTGCATCCATTCAACTTGCACAGGCTAAAGAGAAATTACAATGGGCTGTCCAAACGCAATAATCTCACAGAAATGTTTCGGGTGAGGATGTAATGTTTGAAAATCCTTCGAAGGAGATCGCACAGCCTACCTGTGAATCCAGCCCTGCCTCTCTCAGGGAGCTGTCAGGGAATGATGCGGACTAAATTTCTGTGCAGCGCTCGGATCCGACCACGGAGTTAGTCATTGCGCATGGTGCTCGTCACAAAAGCCTGTGGTTTTATTTATTTATTTTGCCTGGAAGAGTAATCTGTTGCTGAAATGCACAGTGGATCACCCCAGTGCGTGGGAACTGGTCTTCTATCCTGTGCGGAGGATGGAAAGCCCTTGGTACCCTGGGCAGGAAACCCCTGGATGTGAAGTGATAACACTGATGCTCAAGTAGGCAGTCATCACCTGATCCAATTGTCTCCATAACACATTGTCTAAATTTGTCTCGTCATCCAGCAGTCTGTCTTTATGGCGCGTAAACGTGGATTATAGCTTTAAAGGTTGTTTTTTTTAAGCCGTTTTTTAATTGAGTCACTTTTTAAAAATTATATTAAACAACCATGGGGTTTGTTTTTATTCTTCATATGTATGTGCCTACAAGAACCTTTATGTTTTCTGTAAGATAAAATTAGCAGAAACTTTTATTTCCCCTGACGCATCTTCTTCTTTTTCTCCTTCGTCTTCTTCTTTTTAAAAGATAGTTTTAACTATGTAATTTTCAAGAAAAGAAAAAAACAGTAAAGTTCCAACATCAGTGACTCAATTACCGGAGTTTGCCGGCGATTGAATCCTACTGTGAAGATACTGCGCCATCTAATGGATCGAAAAATAATTGCGCGAGGAAAAGGATGAATGCATTTCTTTAGTTGAAGGTTTTGAATTAATCTATAAGGATTCTTTTTTTTTTTATTATTCTAATAAGTTATTTGTAACGTGAATGAAATCAACAATCATCACGGTCATAAATAACCGTTGGCACAGTGGTTATGGCCTGCACTTTATGGTTGTTACAGTGTAGAGTTGACGCCAATGACTGTAGAAAACATGGACGACGCGACAGCGCCTCCTCTCATTGTGCAAAAATGAAGCCAAAATACCCCGCATATGGAGGCTGCCATCTTGCATTTTTGGAGCCAGAGTCTGCGCAGTAGTGACTTGAGGTGGAGCGACTGTGTCACGCTCCCGCCCACACACCCGCTGGACCTGACCTCAACCACGCCCCCCTACACTTTTTACGTAGCCCGTCTGCTCCAGTTTATTTGCTGATGGGTTTACCGCGACTGACTACTCGTTCGATTAAGGTAAATACAACCATGTCACTGTTATGAAAAAGACACACAGCTTAACATCTTATAGTTCTACAACATCTAAAATCACTCTGTTGTTAATTCGTTTGCTAGATTAGCCGCTAGCATACTCTAATGGTCTGTATTATTGAAGGATTCAGCACTCCTTACGTTTTGTTATCCATTTTTAGAAAGCGATAAGATCAGATGTACACTCCACAGAGGCCCAGAGTTACTGTTAATATCAAAAATGTAATGCTGTCCTTTGATATTTTAACATTTAAGACTGAGTGTAATGGATCTAAAACTGTTTAAATCTTCAGAGCCGTCTACAGCCTGGTAACATGGAAACTTTAAAAACAGCAGCAGAAGGTTTTAGTAGTGTAGTTTAATTTGTTCTTTAATTTAATAATAATTTAATAATTGGGGCGATCGTGGCTCAAGAGTTGGGAATTCGCTTTGTAATCGGAAGGTTGCCGGTTCGAGGCCTGGCCTCGCCTTTTGTCAGTGCGCCCCAGGGTGGCTGTGGCTACAATGTAGCTTGCCATCACCAGTGTGTGAATGGGTGGATGACTGGTTGTGTAAAGTGTTTTGGGGTCCTTAGGGACTAATAAAGTGCTATACAAATACAGGCCATTTACAGAGAGTCCATATTATATCAACAGCTACATTCACCCTGGGGAGAAACTAGTGAGGGAGACCATGAGGACTAAGCTGGGTTTCTGGGGTCCAGAGGTTTGGAGAAACTTCTTCCCTTTCTTTCATCACAGCTGTCCTGTGCCAGAAGTTCTGTTGACCCACTGAGAGAGGCTTCATTTGAGAAACACCAGGAAGACTGACGCTCATCGCATTGATCAAGCAGGACTCATGATCTTCACAAGCAGCTCACTCACAGGGAAATCTTCAGCACTCCTCCGTAGGCCTGCCCCAGGACATGGATACACCCAGCATTTCATGAACACTGTGATGGAGACCTTTGGTTTGTGTAATGTTATAAATACTCAGATACTCCCCAGAGGCTCCGGACTTTTACATAAAGATATTATATTCAGTCCTGTAGAAAGTTATATATTTAAAAATATATGATCCTCTCTGGTTACTATGGTATGAATAACTCTGAATTACTTTATAGTAAATAACACACTATCTGCAAAAAACTGTGAAAAATTCCAGATCACAAGTTTGATCACAAGTGACGACCTTTGACCTTCATCAGGTTTTATTTAATTGTGTCAGAGAAAATCAAATGTGCTCATCATGCAGCTGAGTACATCAAGTGTTTAAAACGGAAGCTGTGCAGGTCTGAGATGAGCAGCTCTCTGAAACACCAAACTGAGGTCCTGTTAATGCTGATATTTAGTGACACAGTTATAGGGGTGATTAATCCTTTTGACTTTTTGTCTTTAACTTTATCAATAAAACAGCTGCAGCTTTCACTGACAGCACATGTGGTACTTTAACCTTTGTACTGTTTTCATCAGTTAATTTTGCAGTTAACATGTGAAAATGTTGGATGATCTGTCTGCTTCAGATCCTGGGTATGTGAGGACAGCTCCTGTAATCACAAAGAGAACACAATCATCACAAACTGAAATACAAAGTTTATCTCAAATCTGAAATAGAGCTGATCCTTCTGTCCTCACACACCCAGGATCTGAACCCAATTATAATTTGCTTGATTACATAATACTGTTATATTGTAGCGGGTCAGGGCTGTTCGGGGTTCTGTTTGTACAGTTATGTTTTGTTTATGTTGCCATAGTGACGGGTGACGCCCTCTCGCTGCGACGGTGTGTCCTTCCGGGGTCAGAGGGCGCCCTGTGTGTTGTTGTTGTTGTTGCTGTGCTGTTGCCGCGCTGAGCAGTTAGCTAGCGGCAGTGTTCTTCTGCAGATGTCAATAAACGGCTGTGCTCCCTGGCTAGCTCACGGGAAGCAAGACCAAACGATACCTCCGTCTCCTCCTTGTCTGAGCTCGCCACATTGGTGTCAGAAGTGGGATAGCTCACCCTCGCCGTAATGGAGAGAGACATTCAGAGGCTGGAGCAAGCTATCGAGGAGAACATTCCCTGCTTGGGAAACTGGCGATTGAAAAGAGAGGATGGCTTCTATCTCCTTCCTTTGGCCAGCCTATTACCCCAGCAGGGTACCTGATCACGGGCAGGGCGTACGTGTTGATGGCCCGGATCTTGTTCTTACCATTCAGCTGACTCCTCAGGACTTGCCTGACCCTCTGCAGGTACTTGGTGGTTGCAGCTTTTCTAGCGGCCTCTTCATGGTTCCCATTCGCCTGCGGGATCCCCAGGTACTTGTAACTGTCCTCTATGTCTGCAATGTTGCCTTCTGGTAGTTCAATCCCCTCAGTTCTGACTACCTTCCCTCTCTTTGTTACCATCCGACTACACTTCTCCAGTCCGAACGACATTCCAATGTCATTGCTGTATAGCCTGGTAGTGTGGATCAGTGAATCGATGTCTCGTTCACTCTTGGCATACAGCTTGATGTCATCCATGTACAGGAGGTGGCTGACAACTGCTCCGTTCCGTAGTCGGTATCCGTAGCCAGTCTTGTTAATGATCTCACTGAGGGGGTTCAGGCCTATGCAGAACAGCAGTGGGGACAGAGCATCTCCTTGGTAGATCCCGCACTTGATGGTGACTTGTGCTATGGGCTTGGAGTTGGCCTCTAGTGTTGTACGCCACATCCCCATTGAGTTCCTGATGAAGGCTCTTAGGGTCCCATTGATCTTGTACAATTCTAGGCATTCCAGTATCCAGCTGTGGGGCATTGAGTCATAGGCCTTCTTGTAATCAATCCAGGCAGTGCACAGGTTGGTCAGTCTGGTCTTGCAGTCTCGGCTGACTGTTCTGTCTACCAGTAGCTGGTGTTTTGCGCCTCTGGTATTCTTGCCAATTCCTTTCTGTGTCCCGCTCATGTATTGACCCATGTGCCTGTTCATCTTAGCCGATATGATGCCTGACAGGAGCTTCCATGTAGTACTGAGGCAGGTTATTGGTCGGTAGTTGGAGGGGACCGGTCCCTTCTTGGGGTCCTTGGGGATCAGGACCGTCCGACCTTCGGTTAGCCATTCCGGGTGTCTCTCGTTAACTAGCAGCTGGTTCATTTGTGCTGCCAGACGCTCGTGGAGTGCAGTCAGCTTCTTTAGCCAGTAGGCGTGAACCATGTCGGCAGTTTCCAAGGCCTCAGGTATGGACAGCTTGCTGTATTTCTTAGCACCTTCTTTGTCGCACCTTTCTGCAACTCCGTTAGTTGGCTAACCTCCCTCCGTGCTACTTTGATCTTGCCCTCTAGCCTCCTTCTCCATGGAGGGTACTGCCCCTTGTGGCTGTTCAACTTGTAGCCAAGCATCTCACTGATCACTGCTGCCGTATTGTAGATCAGCTTGTTAGTGTCGGTAATCGTGGTTGTAGGTATTGCCGTAGTGCTGCATTAACATCATCTAGCAGACCTTCTGAGGGTACTTCACGTAATCTTGGTAACCGGCTACGGGGGATCAGGTTTCAAGCTTGGCCATGATCCTATTTTTCAGGTCAGTTCCTCTCGCACTCAACGATCCTTCTCCTATCGCACTTGGGGCTATGTACCCAATCTCGGGTGGGGGTGATGATATCTCCCCCCTGACCTGGCGTCCTGACTCCTCCTTGCCATAGCATTTGTGTTGTACCTCGTCAATCTCTAGCTGTGAGAGCAGTCCCTTCTTTCGAATGTTGGAACACTGAGCTACTAGTTGTTTCGCCGTCATTGTGGATGTTGGGTATCGAAGAATCCATAGGTCCCGCATCCTATTCATGTAGCCCCTTCCGCCGGGGTTACTTGCGTAGTAGCATTCCAACAACGCCCTGTTTTCGTCTCTTGCCCACCGATGCCTTCTTGTTCCAGTAGCCCACTTTTCGTCAGGGTGCCCTGGTTCCTCAACACCTGACGCGGACCTTGTTGATCCGGGCGACGTCCGAGCCGGCATGCCTTCATATTTATCTGTCTCGCTCATGTCTGCGGTAGGCTCGCTTAGCATAGGGGGTCTAGCCTTAGGACCCTTACTGGATACAGACGCCCCAGGCAGGAATCGAACTTGCGATCCTCTGCTCAAGGCGTGTAGTCTAACCACTACCTATCCAGCTGCTATATATATGATAATATATATATATAGTATGATATATATATATATATATATAGTAATTACAAATTATTTGAATGTTTGTATTCTTGTATCACACCCCCTGGCATATGTTAATTTTGTTCTGATTGTATACATGTTCTGTATACTGTTTCTTAATAAAGTTTAATATTTAAAAAAAAAAGTGACATTTGTGGACGCTGGTATTTTTTTACTTGGAGAATTTATCAGTAAAGTTTCAATCTCTGTCACCCCCCTCCTCCCCCCAAAAATAAAATACGTGTTATTGCCAATGACAGTAGAAAACTGTTTTCTACTGTCATTGGTTGTCACACCTACTTGCAAAAAGAGTACAGGAGGACTAAAATAGTACCTTCTCTGCGCTTCCTTCATCGTATTAAAAAGCATACTTGAACGGAAAACGTTTCCGATGTTATTCTGTGGATGTCTGCGCTTAATAAGTATAATTTAAACGACGCTGAGACTCGGTATGAAACATGAGTATTTCTCTTAAGCTGTTTAAGTAGTTTTTCATACTGAGCAACATCTACGCATGCGTGAAACCCGTATTGCCCGTTATGCTATTTTAGGTTTTATATTTAACTTTTATTTATTATTACCGTAGACTGCAAACAGATAGTGTCGATCTGGATTTGTCGGTGCATTAGTGAAGTGCATTGTGGTGTTTTCTACAATCACTGGCATGAACTAGCTTGACTTTCTTTGGTCACATGATGCGACTCCGCAGAAGTCACCTGATTTGTTGTGCTGCTAGTAAGGAAAAAATGGCTGCTCACTTGTCGTACGGTAGAGTGAATTTAAATATATTGAGAGAAGCAGCACGAAAAGAGCTTCGAGAGTTTTTGGACAAATGCGCAGGAAGCAAGGTGACAAACCCGCATACGCCTGTGTAATGTGGTCCAAACACTGGTAGTGGTACTTAATGTGGTCTCTGAGCCTCAGCGTTACCATGAGACTGTCAGTTAACATTATAGTCATAGTTTTATTTTGAATGTGTAAAACAGTACAGATAACGCAGACATATATCTGTATAGGTGCGTCGTATTATAAAATATTCGCGCTACTAGCTAAGTAAAAGTTAGCAAGTATCGCCTGACAGAACATCTTCAGTTCTGCTTACTCACGATTCAAAGCTTTGTTTGCTCTTACTCTCTTACTTTAGGCCATTGTTTGGGACGAATATCTGACGGGACCGTTTGGACTAATAGCTCAGTACTCTCTGTTGAAGGTAAGTGCTTTCTGTTTACAAACCCATTTCTAAAAATGTTAAGAAGCTGTGCTTTGTGGGAATGCAATGATTTGCAAATCTCCTAAACCAATATATAAATGGAAAACGTCAGAGCTTTATACTGTTTAATGAAAAAATATTTGGCCCTTTTGAATGTGATGGCAACAAGACAACTGAAAACGTTGGTACACGAAGAACAGTCCGGAAAAGTAATTGGTACTAAAATGAAATAGCTTGAGGAACATTTGGTAACAGGTCAGTAACATGATTTGTACATATCAGCCATAGTTGAACGTGATCCAGAAATGCTACTGTCTGCTAATGTAAAATGCAAAGTGGAAAACTATTCTGTGGTCAGATGAATTAAGACTTTAAATTATTTTTGCAAAACGTGGATGTTGTGTCCTCAGGACTAAACAGGAAAGGCAGCATCTGACTTATTATCAGCACTGAGTTCAAAAACCTGCACCTTTGATGGAGCTGCATTCATGCCTGTGGAATTGGTAGTCTACATATCTAGCAATGCTGAAAACAGGTTTGACATATGCTCCTATCCAGACTGGATAGGACAGCAGTCTTTTTGCACATTTCAGCAAAAGACTGCTAAACCGCATTAAGCATCTATTACAACAGCATGCATTCATAGTTGAAGAGTCTACTGAACTATCCTGCCTACATTCTAGACTTTTCACCAGCTGAAAGCATTTGGCACATCGTGAAATCAAAAATACAACAAATTAGACTCGAAACTGTAGAGCAGCTAGAATTGTATATCAGACAAGAAAGATACAGTGTTCCTCTCCTAAAAGTCCAGCCGCTAGTCTCCTCAGTTTGTGGTAAAGATACCCATGCCCTTTTTTGAGATGTACTGGTGTCGCCAAATTAAAAATAATCAAATATTTTTCTTGGTCCATTTTCTTATTTTAAATCTTTTATGTTTTCTGTTATTTTTTTAGTGTAAAAGAAATATGTGTTCATGGGATTTTCAAATCTTGGAATTCTGTATTTATTTGCACATTATTTTTTGGAAGTGTTTGCACAATTTATGTCTAAATTAACTCAGACAACAGACAAGGCCCACGTCTTATTATCTAGTTTCTTTTAACACTAATGTCATGTGTCTAATGTTGCTGAGGGTGTTGTTTTAACTTGTCGTTTATTATGGTGTGTTCAG